CCCAGACTCCCTTTTTGTTAAATACTCTTACCTTTTGACCATATACTTTTAAAATATTATAAAACAGTATTTTGTAATATTTAATATTTMTTAAATTTGCTATTATAAAATACTATTTCGAGGCTATGTGTATCATCTATTTAGAGAAACTTTTTTTCCTAGCATCAGGAAAGAAGAAACTTTTTAAGAATCCCTATTTTAATTTTCAGATACATGTAATTCCTCCAACTGCCCTCACTGAAGCATCCTGTGTGCTGCTGTGTTGTAACTGCAGTGCAGTGGTTGCCAAGGTTCTCCAGTTTTTAAGAAATGTGCAGGGTTTAAACTCATGCACGTTTTTAATTTTAAAATTAAAACTTTAATTTTTTGCTCATTGTCCAGATTTTGAGTTAAAACTCATGTGTGCTCATGTATCCTGAGGCACAGTGTGCTCTCCAGGAAGAGTTCAGCACTGATACTACACCATTGCTGATTTGTTGGTGATACTACACCATTCCTGATTTGTTTTGTTGTTATTCCAAGCCTAACACAGCTAYTTTGGCTGGAGCCCATTTTCTGATGACCTTCACAGGCTTCAGCAAGTTTCTGAACTTTCTGAAAGATTTTACCCTCCTTGGCGGCAGCTAAAAAAGCCCCTTTCACTCTTATTTTCCTGTGGCTCAGATGTGGCTATTTCCATTTCTTGTGAAAACACAATGAGATGTATTTTTGAGGGTTAAACAATGCCTTTAAATTTCTCTRGAGCTGAGGAAGACCTTAAGGCTCTTCCTGAAGTTGCAATGATAGAATTGCCCGATGATGAGCAGTGAATTTGCAGTGTGTCCTGTTCCCTTGGGTGGACATGGTGCTCTGTGATCAGAATACCTTAGCTACCAAAATTTGCAGTATTGGCTCTCAAGGATGTGCCTGCTTCCTCTTCTCCATGTCTGGGCATCCTTAGGCTGCTCTGAGAGAGGACTGGGTATAATAAGATACAAATAAGAGAATGGGAGTTTAGGCTGAATAATTGAAAAACTGTTCAATGTTAAATTCCTAATCTTGAATTGTTTACAGCCACACTGGGTACAGCAATAGAAGGTACAACTGGTGGAAGGATGGAAGCAAATTTTGATTTCTGATTTTAAGCTTAGACTGCCTCTGATGTGCATATTAAGATGTTTTTGGTTATGAACATGTGAAGTAAGATATAATTAGTTTATTTCCCCTTCATATGTAAATCTATTAACAGATCCAAGTAAGACTGCAGAGAATGGCAAATCCCATAGTTTCATGTCTGCACTAAAGCCCTTTTTTCCTTTGGTKTATTTGAGCAGATGTCTCTCCTGGGTTTTCCATGGGCAGATGCTGTGCAGCATCTAAACCAATATAACAGGCATAACTCATGGGGTTGCMCCAAAATCTGACACCACCAAAATCTTGACATTTCAGGGCCTGTCCTGTGATGCTGAGCTCAAATATGCACTTCCTGCAGCCTGATTTCTGCTTCCAGATCTTTGTCTCACATCAGATGATGCCTTAAGGTCGTTATCTTTGCCATGGGATGGGTAAGGAGAGTGAGTCAGGAATGTAAACTGAGATTTTTATCAGCAGCAGTTYGAGTGAAAGAATGGAAGAGCAGCTGCTGGGGTTGAAATAACTTGGGGAGCACCAGTTCTCAGCACTTTGCATGGTTTGTGCATGATTTACTGTGTGGCTGCTCACTGAGCTGGCTCATGGACCATCCTGCAGGGTTTTTTTGGGCCCAGAAGGGAAGGTTGAACCTTTCTTAATAGACAGTACGTTCCTTCTCAAAAGAAAAACCTCACAAAGAAGCCAAGTAGCCTAAATCCCGTGTCCATGCACAGTATAATGCAATATTTTACATAGTTCAACTCTATTTAGGAAGGGAGGGAGGAGAAAAATCACTAATGTTTAGGAGTGACAGTAGGAAATGAGGTAGGAGGACGAAATGAGGAAAGGAATGACTAATTCTCTAGCAATATCTACAAAATTATCTGTGCTATTGAAGAGTTTCTACAAAACAATTCCATGAAATTTGGTTGTGCTGGGTTGTGGTTAAGGCACAAGACAGGAGTACAATTCCTCGTTCAGCCCAAGACTCTTTTGGCACTGCTCATTATGGTTCAATTATTAAATAAAATTGGAGGTTTCAAATCTCCTCTCAGGAAAAAAGCAAGGGGAATGTTCTGTTTCTCAAGTCCAAGACTCTGTTGAGGATGATTTTAACTATTTTTCAGCACTCCAGGCTTATGGTGGAGTTTGCTGGCAAACAGCAATTAAAGAGAGGTGGAAACAGCAGATTCTCATTCCACAGTCAACAATACAGAACAAAGACAAGAAACGATTTGCTGGAGGACACTGATGCCAACAGGAGCATTACAGAGCTCGCCTTCAGCAATACTGTCCTGTTTGCTGTAGAAAACTCTAAGTCTCCCTACCTAGRTTTAATTTAAAAATGAATTTGCTGTTTTGAAGGAAGGGCTAAGGCTTGAAAATCCATTTGCTCGCATCCCAGCCGAGTAGGTTCACTAATAACAAAAAGACCAAAGACAGATTTTTTGCATTAGAGAGAGCACTTTATTATTTCTCTGCTTTGTTTTCTTTGGAGTCCTGCTGAAATGTTTTTGATTGCACACAAGCAGGAGATCAGTTGTAATAAGGCGTGTCTCGTGTTTCTCGGGTTCCTGCCAGGTCTCAGATATTTCTTTGGGACTTGAACACTGCTCACATTTTAAAGGGACACTGTCACAGATTCATTTAGGCTGAAAAAAAACCCCTTAAAATCACTGCATCGATAGAAACGAACCAAAAACTTTGTATTTCCTTTTTAAGGACCTCTTACTGAGAAGCGCACATATATTTAGAAATACCCAATGTTGTTTTATTTTTTAAACAGCATGTGAGTTTAACGAAATTAAATGTATGAGCACTTCTAAAATCTCCCTTCTTCCTGATTTTTTTAGACTGCAATTCTTCATTCCTATGCTACTGTGTTTTGAGATTTACTCTTTGTATATTGATTTTGTCTACCACTTCATTTTGGGCAGTAAAAGTAGACTTGTCCAGGTTTCCTGGTATTTATTCACCCATGGCACATTCAGTATTGCTTGGGTTAACAAGTTAGAAGAAAAAGCTGGATTTTGTCTGTTTTCTATCATATTTGAAAAAGTTATAAAAACAATTTCCCCAACATGCGGTGCTGTAAGTTCCCCTTCCCCCGTGTTGTTTTTGGACCTGCGGTGTTTTGAATATGACATCTCACAAAAAATAATAGTATTTTTAAAACCTCCTACCCGAGTGGATTTGAGTTATTCAAAGCAAATGTGGGGGACTGAGAGCCCTCTGGAATCCATCAGAGATGGGAAAGCAGCGCTGTTTGCTCCCCTCCCTGGGCCATGCTCTGCTCTGTGTGCCTGGGTGGGACTTTCTGGGAATCCCTGGACAATTTTGTGCATGGACCAGCAGAATTTGGCTCCCAGATATCCAGAAATATGTTTGGGACACAGTGCAGTGGTACAATCCTCTGGTTCTGAGTTTCTGTAGGAAGCCACACCTTYGGCCAGGAGTGTTGAGATGAAAAAAGAAGCCTGATGAGCTCCATAGTGAGGTCCCTGCTCCAAGGATTTTTGCATTTCCTGGACAAGGATGGCCATGGAAGCTCCTGAGGTGCCAGCAGTGCAGGGTGAGGTGCAGCAGTGCAGGGTGAGGTGCAGCAGTGCAGGGTGAGGTGCCAGCAGTGCAGCTGCCTCTTTGTTTGTAAATGCACATGACAAAATATTCATTTTCTTAAGGGTAGCTCACCTCCCCTCACTTCAAAACAGTAATGCCAGACCATGTCAGCWGATAACCCAATTATTTATATGAGAATTTCCTGTTGGTTTAGTGGACAATCTAACCCCTGTTTCTTTTTCATAAAAAATCTGACTTACTCAATGTAACAGAGGGGTTTTTTTTTTAGTCCTTCTTTACCCTCTCTGAGCATCATGTAATGAAAACAGCCTTCAGGTGTTCAGGATTTTTTTCCCCCTCCTGTTACCTATTCCCACATGTGCACACATAGTCCTAAAATTATCACATTGCATGCACTTGCTGCAGGGAGATTCCTCTTCAAGGAAGAGAATATGCAGCAGGATCACATTGATTCCTTGATCAGCACAGAGCCCAGCCTCTTGTGTGTCTATTACTGCAAAAATAAAGGCAAGATTCCACTCCCCTTACTATACATAATCAACAGAATTATTTTGAAATGCAATTTTCTTAAAATAATCACCGAATCACCCAAAAATAATTTCTTCACCAGTTAGCAAAGAATGATGGATTTCAGTTTGGCCTAAAGTGTCTGGAACATCATGCCTTAAATCCAGTGGTTTTGGTTAAAATCCCTTCTGCACACAGTTGTAAAGTGCACCAGCAATGTGAGGGAGGGTGAGAGGAGCAAGGGATGGTGAGAGCTCTGTGAAATCAATTTTGCAGCTGTTGCTGGTGAAATCTCCAAGGAAAGAGGCTTRAGAACCAGTGAGCCCATGAATACAAGCAATACAAAAATAGTAATTTTAAACTTCATCGGTGCTTTTATAATGMAGGTAGTGAAACAGCTTCTTGTGCATACTCACAGAGTCTGGAGAGTTTTATTTAACTTGTGTGAAGAAACAAAAGGGTGAAAAACTACCAATTTCTGAGAAGTGCACTTTGATGCTTATTCACTGTAGAAAATTTTTGGTTTGTAGAAAACAGTCTGAAAAGAATTTGCTGGCAASCAGCATTTCAAACTCCTCTGTATAGATCAAAGGCAGTCATCTGGAGCTCTGACTAGTGGTAAACCTGGGTGAAACTCCACCCCAGACATCCTGGAGAATCCATCTTTGGTTATTCTTATATTGATATATACAGTGACAACGAGGTGATTAGGATTAAAAACTCAAAAAAAAGTTCAAGTCTTTACAGAAAATCAGCCCCTTTTTTTTTTTTCTGAGATACTTTCTAGTTCATGATGGCAGTCACGGTGTGAGGATGGTCACATTAAATGCTGGGTGATCTCTGCAGTGCTGCTGTGCTCTGATTCAATCTCTCAGCGAGTTGTAGGCTTTGGTGGTCCGGCTGTTGATGAAATCCGCCTTCTTAAAGTCAGCCTTTGGGAAGAAAAAAACAGAATGGTTCATTATCTTCATTCCAGCTGCCTGAAAGCTACATCAGGAGCTGTGGGAGGGGTTAGGCAGAGTCCTGTGCAGTCACAGAGACAGAACAGGCAGTGCTCCTTTAGTCTGAGATGGGTGAGACRAATAATTGGAATTGTTTCACTCTCTCCAGTGGCTGCACCAGGAGCTGCTCTCCCAGTTCAGCTCTGCAGACTCCTTGAAGTGACTAATAACTGAGATTAACCCAGCTGAGATTACCCCTATCAGGGCAAATGACTCATAATGACTCAGGATTTTATCCATTTCATCTGATCAAGTCATTTCTGTGGCTTATTAGGCTGAAGTTTCAAAAATGTCCAGGCATTAGATGGTCTGAAGTTTTCACTGCCATGACTGATGTCTCTAAGGGACCCAACTTGCACTGGAACAGCAAATAATCAGCATTTTTGAAAATCAGGTCTGACAAAGGTGCCTATAGGCATTCCTAAACTACCACTGACTTCAGAAAATTCATGCCATCAGGGATATTGCTGCACAGTAAAATCAGGAATGCGGTTGTAAAAAAACAGAGACAACAAAATCTGCTGAAGAATTTATATGGCACAATAACCTTATTCTTGAACAAAGATTTCTGGTTTGTGGTGCAGTTCTGCTGAGCGTGACGCAACACTGATAAAAGTTACTACACTGAGAAACTTATTTTGAGCAAATTTCAACAAAAAAAAAAATCTAGCATTTATTATTCAGCTGCTTTTCTTTGTAAAGGCTAAGGACCTGGAACAGTTTTAGGTTATAGGAAACTTGAAGTGACAAATTCTGAACTGCAAACAAACAAGGGAATTTGCAAAAAACAGTTTGCAATGCAGGGGGAACTTAGGTAGGTAGGTAGAAATTAACTCAGCTGTGTGACTGTTGAAAAAGCAGTCACAGAGCTTAAAAAAAAAAAAAAGAAACAAAGTGGTTTATGGCTGACTCATGCTGTCATTTTTTATTTGACTATGGCAGTAACTGTTTGCCAACACCTTTCCCAGGCTCTAGGTTTTTTTGTCTGAATACAAGTGACACCTTGGCTACCAGGTGCCATGCAAACAGCAAGGAGAACAAAACCCCTCTGGTTTTAGAGCAGGAAACTGCCTCGCCCGCCTTTGTTTTTCTGGCACTTTGGAGCCTCTGTGCCAGCAGTGGATGGTCACCCACTCTGCACCACTTCCCACCATCTGACACTTCTGGCAGGCAGCAGCAACACTTTTCATCAACTCTGCCTGTGGATTTAAAACCACGGAGGGAGAGAACACGAACATGGATGGGCAGAAGTTAAGGCTGTGCATTACTTACACGGGATTGTGTACAAGTAGCAGGAAACCAAATTCAGGGACCACTTGAAATCYTATCATAGGTTGATTCTTGAACGTGCAGGGGTGTTAAGGGCCCAGAGGACAAATGAGAAGGTCTGACAGGACGGGTGACTTGTGTTTGTGCTTACCTTTTTGTAAGCGCTGTGCAGGTCAGTGTGTGACCACAGCGAGTAGAGCAGGACTGAAGCAGCCCTGCTGGCTTTGCTGAACATATTGCTGCAATTTTGCAAAAAAAAAAGAATGATAAAAACACATTAAAATCCCCACATCACAGTCACAGTGCATGTACAGACTTCAGCAAGCATAACCTCATAGCATTTGTTTTGTCTCTATTCCTAAATGCTGGTTTGGTGCCCTTTAGGTATTGTAGGATGTTTCATGGTGTCCTTAATATTGAAACCAATGAAACATGCCTGCCTGATTCACTCATTCTGCAAAATTAGGGAGAAATCCAGTGCTCTATCCCTACAACTTAGAGCAGCTATCATACTATTCATTTTCAGCTGAGGAAAATACACCTCAGCACAACAAGCATTTCAAAGAATCTTTCCAGTAGGAAAAATCTCTGGTTAGTTAGACAGGATTTAAACTATTCAGGGCTTCACGAGGCCTCCTTTACTGAGATTAATTTCCTCTCCCATTTTGCAAAGAGAGAGCAAGGCAAGCAGAATAATTATTTGTATTTATAAAGCATTAATTATCTTTTGAGTAAATATTGATTACACTTAATGACACATTAGAGAGCGGTTAAACTTTAAATCTGTTTGCTGAAACGACACTTTATAAATTATTTTTATTATACAATTTAAGTATCTTTTATTATATTATATTCTTTTTACAGATCTGTAAATTCTATAAAATGTATTAATGCACTTTATTGCAGGGCTGAGTTACAATGAACCAGAAAACCATTTTGGGTATAGATAAGTACCTAGTCATTATATATATCAGAATATAGATAATGTTGTGCAGTGATCTTCTGAGGAGTTATTTAAAATGCTGGCACATGGTCAATTTAGCTGTGAATGGAACAGCTGTTTTAAGAGATTTTTCTGTATTTCCCAATCAGTGCAATTCYATTCCCATCACCTGGCTGAGCTGCACCTTGAGATGGAGGATTTTTTCTCCCCAAGAGGCAGAGGCTGGGGTTCCTTTTTTTCCCCAGGAAAGGAGGGATGTGCTGAGAGCTGTGCAGTGCCATACCTGTCGTTGATGCTGATGGCAATGACCTTGGGCAGCCCGTGGGTGCTGAGCAGCAGGCGGGCGCTGTGCGAGCTGCCCTGGGTCAGGTTGAACAGGGTGTAGCAGGCGGACGCCGCCGTTTCGCAGGCGATGTCAGACCCCGGCACTGACTCGGGCAGGACCGACACCAAATCAGGCAGAACTTCTCTGGCTGCAAGGGGGAGCAGAGATAAGCAATTCCATGACTGACAGGGGCAGGTTTCCTGATCTTATTGCTCCATCCTCCCCCATCAGCGTGGTTTCATAGCTGCATTTCATCCCCACCATTCAGCTGCATCCCCATTCCCTTGGTCAGCCCCATGCACAACCCATTGACACCTTTCCTGCTGTACAGAACTCACCAGGCATGTGCCACATCCTTTTAGAGATGTTTTATATCTCAGTTTGATTCAGAGGSTTCATTTTGGTTGGGAAATATAGACACATAACTAGAAAATAATATGCTCTTCCAAATGTTTTCCTTTTTTCGGACTTTGACCTGAATTCACACATGCTTTCAGTCAATCAACAAAAACATCTTTTGACAGAGAGATGGTTCACCTGAAATTCCCCTAGCTCTCTCTGCCATGGGTAAAGCAAGGAAATTACTGTGAATGTGCAGGATGAAGCACCTGCCCCCAAAGCTCTGTGCTRTTCTGTCTTTCTCCCACTCTCATAAATGATTTTTTCCTGATGAAATCCCAGCTTCTCATCAGTTTGATTTCTCCTCTTTCTGGGGGATTCACCACTTGTAATTTTTAACACCGCATGGATTATTCCTTTGAAATCAGCCAGACAACATGTTATAATATTTTCATTGATAGGGATTGTTCTCTAAGGATTACACAAGGCCCAGGAGACTCTTCTGCAGAATTCTGGAGGTTAATCTGTCCCATGAGCCATCTGTACATCTGTAATTTCCCTTTTTCCCCTTGGTGGGAACAAAGAAAAGGACAACTAATTTATGAATTCATTTGATCCCATCAGTAGCAAAAAGTCCTAAATACACAATAAACTGAAATGAAAATACACAGAATAGAAATGGATTCTATTTGGAAATGAGAATGAACTATTTTTCCTATAGCATCTCACAGCTTCTGTTCTCAAAAAACCTTTTTGCAGCAAAACTCTGTAGCTGCAAACTGCAAAGCTTCTAAACTTCAAACTTCTAAACTTCACAGAGCGAACTTGTAAAGCTTTGTGTCTAATAAGAGAAACCATGATCTTTGCTAGAAGAATTAGAGATGTTCTGTGATTTCCTGTGAAGCATTATGCAGCTGTGGCAGCACAGAACCCGGCACCCATCTGCATATATCCTATTGTAAGTGAAAGAAAAACAACCTCTCTGTGTAGACTTTACATCAATTACATATTTTTGAAAGTGACAGCAATGGAATTATCTGATGAAGAGTACACAATATAGAGGAAGTTTGAGGTTAAAGACTTCTTTAGGCAAAACCCTTCATTTTAAACCCTGTACTGTCACTGCAAGTATCTGGTGAAAAATTCAGTCTACTAAACTGATGGATTAGGGTTTTTTTTTGCAGGTTTCTCTTTTTTTTTAAAGCAGAAAACTTTGAGAAGAAGAGAGCAGAGAAAGCGCAGGGGCTGCTGTCAGTCTTGGCTCACCTATGTCACTTTGCAGGGAGGTGTTTCGGGACAGGTTCCTGAGCAGGGACACGGCTGTTTTCTTCACGGCGGGGTGGCTGACGTGCAGCATGGCTCGGATGCTCGGGAGGCCATTTGCCTTCTGGACCACTGTCCTGGCCACTGCCAGCGGCATCTGCGGAGATGGGTCAGTGCCAGAAGGGAAAAAAAGCCACACTCTGCCACATTTGAGACATTTAAACAGTTTTAAACCAGAGTTATGTATGAGTTGTGACAGGAAAGGAAGGTGAGATGACCGAAGTTTCAAGCCCTCAGTGTTCAGACAGACAGCAGTAGTTTCTTCAGCACAAAAATGATCTGCTCTTGTGTCAGAGCCCTCCTCTTCACAAGGGACTGTGTTCCAAAAAGTGACTTTTTTATGCTTTTAACAACTGCTCATCCCTYGCTGTGTAAGGAATTAGCAAACTCCACACACGGAGTTGTACACAGAAGCAGGCCCCATATTTGCAAAAACACATATTTGCCAAACACATATTTGCCAAGCAAGSAAAAGCTGCACTGCTGGTTGTAATTTTCCCTTCAATGTTCTTAATTTCCCTTCACCATGAGAGAGCCAGGGACTTGTCCRTGGTTATTGGTGCTCAGCTGCACTGCAGCTCTGAGCTCTACGCATTCACATCAAGAACTGAATAAAAGAAAGAGAAAAGGAAGAAATCTGACTTACTGGTCCAGTGCCAGCTGTGAGGTTCTGCAGAGCTCCCAGGGATGCTTCCTGGGTGTAGTTCCTGGTACTCTTTGCTATTAAGGACAGATATATCCTGATCAGTGTAGAATGCCAGAGTGATTCAACACCTTTGGGATTGCTCTTTTCCTCAGGTAGYGGGGTGTCCTGTTGCTTCTGGACATGGAAACAGATCAAGCCTTTAGAAACACTGATCTTACAAGACTTAATGCATCACAAGCTAAATCAGCAATTTCATTACTCTCTATGGCCACACTGTGTGCAGACTGTCAAGGTGTGTGCTCAGAAAATAAATTGTAAAATTTCACTATTTAATGACAGTGGCCAGTCCATGCCATGGAATTCCTCAGCCAAAGAAACTTTTGCTATGTCATTGTCACCACCAGCAGCTGAATGAGAGAACTGGTGTCAAGGACTATTAATAAATTTGCATTTTTAGGGCATCAGCCTACCAGATATATCAATAATAGACTGTTAATTAGATGACAACYTTATTCTCCAGAGGCTGCTACAAGTGATTAACCAAATGAGATGTAATTAATCATGTAYTTTACCTCTTTTACTTTTCTGCTCCGTGTCCCGAAACAGCCCGGTGTTTTATCATTGCTAGAAAYATTTCTTCTTTGCATATATATGCTCTGGGCATAGCTCTCAGGGAGCTCTAACTCTAGCTGGTAGGAGAGGTTGTGAAGAATGCACACGCAGTTCTCCGTGGCCTAAAATCACAAAAGAACARAAATTGAAAGCTTTGGCACGCGTTGAAGGGACACGTATAGACACGGGAAGAGATTTCATTTTTTGATCTTCAGCAACTGACTGCAGAGTTTTTAATGCCTTGTGGAAGAGGCTTCATGCCAGTGATGAAGCAGACTGCCTTTACAGTGATAAATTAAACGTGCCCTGGGATGTTCCTGGGCACTGAGGCCAGCTGGCACTGGGAGCCTGCTGGAAATGCTCCTGGGACATTATAATTCCTCAACTGTGCCTGGGAATTGTTTGGGCGAGTGCTGCTTGACACAAGCCAGGAGTGTGCCAAGAAAGGTTTGAGAGCTTAAGAGTAAAGGTGATCATGTACACACCTCACCACAGCATCAGCAGGAGGAAAGCTTTTTATCTTCCTCCAGGAGAAAGGATTTTTCTGTGGTAGAATGCTTTTAAAACAAGACATTCCTTTCTGAACATGGCTAAGGTCAGGTCTAGGATTTCTGAGTGATGAGTCTAGCAGCAAATAGCTTTATTACCAGTTCCTTCTTTTGTGAAAGTTAAAAAAAAAAAGGAGTGGTTTTAAGAGAAAATGCAGCAGGGAGCTATTGGCACAGGTCAATGGGCTGGATTCTCCCTGAAGCTCCAAATGCAGGGAGATGGGGAAGCTCCAGCAGCTAATCCTGGAATAGAGCTGTAAATGTGCAGTAATTATCCCTGCACAGCACAGGTCCTGGCAGATCCACAGCAGAGCCCTGAGGCTGCAGATAACTGAGGGCACAGCTGGCAACTTCACCCACTGAAACACAACCCTCTGCTCTCACAGCCTCTGCTCAGGGGGCACTGCAGGCAGGGGAGGGAGCAAGAGTGGGAGAAGCTGGCATCTGGATGTGCTCAGGTCCTTGGAGTTMCCAGCTTAGGCAGCAAGTGGAACTTCTAAAAAAAAACGAGGAAAAGTAATTCCATTCTAAACAATCACACTGCCACCAAAAGGATTTAGGCTCTTCACTTCTTATGGGATATGGAGCATTAAATATAAAAAAGAGTAACCAGATTATTTTTTTTAACTTCTAGCTATCTAGCATCCTGAGACAACCAAAAAGGCAACAGCTGACTTTTATGTTTCAGCATCTCAGAAAGTTGAGATTTTAGCTCACATTTTCTAAAAAAACAGAAGTTTCTGCCTTTCTCTGGTGATTCTGGAAATGTTTTCCCAGTGCTAAATTATGCTATTCTTTTAGATATCAGGATAAAAATACTTCAAAAAGCTTCTTACTGGACTTTCACCTTTGGTGGCAGTTTTAAAAGCTGTAGAAATAAATTTTGTAGTTTCATCACAGCTGCTTCTGAACACTGACTTCTAAATAACAACAACAAAAAAATGTTCACTTGGCAATTTCCCCTAGGAAAACTCTTTTCATCTCCAAGAGTACCTTGTCATTAGGCTCATGGTCTGCAATAGCTCCTTGGATATAATACACAAGAGAATCAATCAAACCTTCACATTCTCTCATCTTTTTCCTTCCTTCTGGGCCAGCGGAGCTCATGTTTCTGTGCAGGAAAGAATATGTTGGGGAGAAGAGATTTAGTCAAAGGTATTTCCTTGTGAGAAGAGATTTAGTCAAAGGTATTTCCTTGTGCCCCTCTGACAAACTTTTCCAGCTAAATCTGGAAGATTCTGAAGTTCAGGTTGACTGCTTCCTTTCTTCAGAGCTGTAATCTGAGCCAGTTCTGGGTAAAACTTCCACTCACTGACAAAAACAAATACTCCAGGAAAACAAACCACTGCATTTGGATGGGTAATGTAAGACATGACTCAAATTTGCATCTCAAAGTTGAATTAATCCTTCTTAAGCAGTCAAAAAAAACCTGGACTTTTTCACAATTCCATTTTTTGTTATATTTTTAATATTCAGAATGGTGAAATTGTCAGAGGAAAGATGCTTGTAAAGATTTCCACACACACAGATGTCCTTTAGAACTGATTTACTTATACTTGCTGCTTGAAGCTGCTTGGCTCTAACCAAGCTACAGATTTCCAGGGAAGCAACACCACTTACAATCTTGGGACATAATTATTTTTACATCTCCACAAAGCCTGAATTATGGAATATTGGAATTATAAATCCAGGCCTTATTATTTTGGACTCCTGCAGCTTTGCTGGCCAAAAGACTGCACATTCCACCTCTTTTGTTTGAAATAACATTAAATATAACCCAATCCTAGCATACATCAAAACACACAGGGACCTGYTCCTTTACATGGTTTCAGGTTGCTTATTTTACATGCTTACTTTGCCCACTAAAAATGACAATGTTTACTATWTTATTAATGACAAAGCCAATAAGGTTTAAACTTTCCTGTGGTTATGACTGTAAAATGAACATAGCATTTTACACACAGTCATTTCACTTCTACCATTTTTTTTCCTCTTGGAAGTACACATTAAATACTAATGCACTGTAATTACAATTTTATTTTAGGCCGTGATGTCAATGTCTCTATTTATCAGTTCATTTATTCTTTCATGGAATAGCACATCACAGAATCAATATTCAGATTCCACAACATGGCCTACTATAGGCATCCCTTTGGAATTTAATTTTACCTACATATGTCACACTCGAGGCACGTCAACCTTTCCYGTGTTTATGCTGACAGAAACAAACACGTTACAGCCCTCCTGGTGCATAGCAAAAATAGTTTCTGGGGCACACWGACTAAAAATACCATTTCAGATAAACGTGGAATTTCTCTTGCCAAGGACACTTCAGCTGATGCTGTGTTTTGTTTTGTCCCAGTACACTGCTCTGAAACATTCTCAACTTTTTACTGAATTTTTCACAGCTGCTGCTGCTGGATRTGGAGTAAGGTCATGCCCTGGCCTTGCTGTCAGCATGAACAGAGTGGGGCAAAGAGGTTTTACAGCTCAGGAGGCAGAGAAAAGCCTGAATTAGGGGTGCTGCGCTGTTCTGCAAAGGAAATTAATTATGGGTCTCTGTTTCATGAAGAAGTTGATGCTCATCCAGTGACAGATGTCAGTGTGTGTCTGTGTGCACACGTGGCTGCTCCGTTCTCCACCTTTCCCTGTTTCCATCACAACATGGACTGGGAAGGGAAGAGCTCCAGCTCTCCCACCCATTCATGTGTTTTCATCCAAAAAACACCTGGAACCACCTTACTCTAAACAGGGTCAGAGAAGAGCATTTCAAAAAACCTCAGCTGACAGCTTGTTTGCCAATTGAAGCTTAAGAAATTCCAGGAAATAAAAATATTATTAGATTGGTAAAAAAAAAAAACAAAAAAGTTTCTGAGAAGTGTCACAGAAATGTAAACCAAAAAAAAATTTTTTTTTGAAACAATGGAGGCATCTTGCCTACAGAATTCCAAAACTGACTTCATCTTGGCTTCCCAAGATTTGAGGTTCCTGACATTTGGAATGCCTCCCTCTGAGCTCAGGAGCTGGACTTATTTCAGTGGAGTTGCTGGAGGCTCTGAAATGCTTCAAGGCTCAGAATGCAGCCTCAGGGAGATGCTCTCCTTCAAATGACTCAGAACTTACATTCTGGCCTCACCTACCTACTAAAATCCCTGGCTTTGGGCACACTCAGATGTGGAAATCCTGGTGTCATGCTCAAAATTTGCTAATGTGGATGAATCTGTCTCTGTGCCTCATTCATCTCATTGTGCATTTGCTGTTCTGTCCTCTCCTTCACACAACCCCATCTGCAATCAAAACAGCTCTTTGCCCAGGTCCTGGGGCATGTGGGGAGGATCAGCCAATTCCCTGCTGGGAGATAGGATTTCGATCCAGAGATGTGAGGTAAATACAAAGAAAAACCGAGAGTGACTCTGAAAGAAACAGAATGATGATAATAAATTTTCAATTAGCTGATAAATAGCACCAAATGAAAGGGATACTCCCTCTAAGCCAACACTGAGTCATGSACTGACTGTTGGAAAGGTTCTTGACCTGCTGTGAATGGTCCACAAAACTGATAAGAAGAAGRATTTTGCTCCTGGGACTCATTCTGCTGAAACCGGTAATGTGAATTTAATTCAATTACCAGACAACGGTTTTGGGAAATTCTGTTCCCTTCATGCCTTACACAGTTCAAAAATTCACCAAGGACGGAAAGATATCTGAAAAAACAGAAGCACCAAGCTTCAAGCTGCTTGTTGGAAGGAACAAAATTCCTTTCAGGAACTGGGGGAGCAGATAAACTGAAGAGGAGGCAAGAGAAGATAAGAATGGATGGAAATAAACCTCAAGGAGTGGCAGGGCTATGCAAGAGGCCTTGGTTCAAAGGCTTGTTATCATCAGCCATTTGTTTTACTCTCTCTTGGAAGACCCTGAGCTTTCCAGCACAGCTTTGGCTTCGYTTCTCTCCGGAGAAAATGGAAGCAGATGTTGATGCAGCCTCCTGGGCTGAAATGCAGTGACACTATTTCCTCCCAACACAGCTTTCCACGGACCCTGGGGTCACTGTGTAACTCACCAGAAGCTCAGACCAGAGCTGGGACAAAGAGTGAGAAATAATAATGAAAAAGGAAAATTTTGAAAAACCAGAACCCACACAGGAGCACTGGATGCTTCAGTTCCAGAGCAATTAAAAAGGAAGGYTCTGTAGTGAAGCACAGCAGCTTGAGCATTCAAATTAACTGTTTTACAGGAGAAAGTGTGATGACTATGAATAAATTAGGTAAGTTCAGCATTGCAGAACTTTTGGGAACAGGTATTTCAAGGTGAAAATAGGACCAGTTCATTATCAGCTTTCAAGGTGTGAAAGAAACTGCCTTCCACTGAGCCTTCCTTTCAGTCACAGGTGAACTTATGTACATAAATAATATCCAAACCCATACGTTTTATATGCTTCTGACATCCTTTCAGACACAGAAGCGTATGGGAAAATATCTTGAAGATTTTTATCCATTTGTGCTGGAACTGGAGACAGAACTTTTAGGTGTACAACTTTCAGGCCAAGAAAAAAGTGACTTTACCTTCCAAATCCAACAGGACTTGTCCACAAATGTCTGTAACACTCAAAGGAGTGTTTATAGTTACTTTTAATAATCCAAATTTTAYTTGTTCAGCTGATTGTCAGGCTGTTGATTTGGCTCACTCTGCTCAGGCAGAGTGCTTTTTATCCTATTTCACAACTGAACAATACTATGATTCGAACATGCAGAATTGCATGGCAGACACATCTTCTTTTTATCAGGTTAAATTTGTGACCTGCAGTTTTTGTAAAGCTTTGCTCCTGATGTGGTTTTAAGACAAAATACAGAGCCAAAGAAGGGGATTAACAAATCCTTCTGAGGTCAGACTCCCTTATCAGTGACTGCACACAGTGACACAGAYGCTGAGATCCTGACCCCACAACACTTCTGGCAGTGGCTGCTCTGGCTSTGYWCTCATTCCARTGCTTGGAAGGATCTGCAATATCATCTGCTGGATGTGGATTCACTTCTYCTCCTGCTGCTTTGTCAAAGAGGATGAAGAAAGCTTTAATTTATTACCTGGTAATGRTGTGGCACAGAGCACGTGCCCATAGCAGATGCTGGTGTTAGATTTGGGCTGTGGGAGTCCCTTTCTCTCAATTGGTGCGTGGAAATCTTTGAAAAGAAGCTCTGGCATTCTCCTTCAGCTAAGCACTGCACTATGCATAACGTGTTGCACTTCAAAGGACTATTTTTACCCTCTAATAGAAGCTGCAGGCTACAGACTTTATCAACGTGCCCAACAAACATGTTAGCATTACAAAAGGGAAGACTAATTACAGATTTATACYGTGGCAAATAAATATACTCTTTAAACATATTCATGAGTAACACCATTCCCTTAATACACACTTTGTTACTCTGCGGTGTGCTCTTCTTTCATTTATGCAGAGATTTTTTATTATTAATATATAGGGAAGGAATACTTCTAGTGACCTAATCTGGGAGGTAATTTTCCAATAAAGAGATGCAAACTGATTAATCTTAAAAATCAGTTATCTGGCCTGCACAATTATCATAAGCCTCATGAAAAACTATTCTGTGCTAGAAAGAACGCAACAATCCTGCAGATCAACTTTACCTGGGGATTTTCAARCCCTCCYTGTTCTATTTATAACAAATTGTGTYGATCTGCTGAAACAAGCTCAGGAAGAGCAACACCAAAACTGAACCTTGAGAATGATCTGTGCCCCCATGGTTCATAAGGAAGAGACAGTTCCAGAGTCCAAATGCCAAGAGAGGAGAGCCAGACTGGTTTCTGCACAAAAGCAGCTTGGGCTATTAATATGAAAAAGGACAATCTCCTTAATTTCGTAGACAACACCACCAGCCTCAGCTAGAGAGGTTTTATTATGGGTGGTTAATGTTTCTTTGTGTTTGTTTTTGAGTCATCAGAGTAAATAAAAGTTAATTATTACTCAGAGATGAAGTTAATTAGTAGTCAGCGGGCTGACAGGAGTTCCTGCAGGAAAAAGGTGTGTTATTGTTGAGTATTTTGTGTAGCTTCCAGTTCATCTGCCTTCTGAAACCACACGAGACAGACACAGAGCAACTATATCTGTCAAATATCCTGTTTGCCCAAATATCTATCAAATTTCCTGTTTGCCCAGGCAAAATCAATGCCATACACRTACAACTACTCTGCTACAGGATGTGTTAGTGTAGCAGGTGTGTGTGAGGCAAAACTGGGCAACTTCCCAGCCTCCAAATTTTAAATTTCTTGTATTCTACAGGAGTTTAAAACCCAGGCCATGCCTTTGYAGTCATACATTACCCCTCAGCCATCAAACTATGTCCTTTCATGCATTTTTGGATGTGTAAACAAAAGACATCTCTGACAGTTGTATTTGTACTTACTTAATGTGGAATGGCTTTGAGCTCACAAACACAAAGGGCCCCTGTTTTATAGACTGTCAAAGGTGTTTTTATTGAAGATTTTTATATTTCARCCACTCAGGGGTGTGTTCAGTGAGGCCTTTGGTGTTTGTAGTAAGTGCTACCGTGTCCACGAGGCTGTGTGCAGATTGCAGTACTAAATACACAACTATAAATCTGTTCATCTACCCCATGGCTGGACCTTGCTTGAGCTTGTGCAAAAGTTTGGACAAGGCTTATTCTGCTTTAAGAAAGGGCTTTTCCCTAATTGGAGTTAAATCACTTTCTAATCAGTTTTGGCACAGATTATGAAATGCCCAAGTCAGCCTCTTTGGCAGCAGCTRAAAACTGAACATTTTATGTGCTTGGAGGTGCCAAGTCCCCTTTCCACATCATCTTTTCAGACAAGAAATGAATGTGGCTTGGGATGAACTCTATGTATTCACCCAGAAATAACAGTGCAGGCCTGTTTTATCASYAKTAYTGCTTTGTGCTCACCTCAGGCATCCTGTGGCATTGTAGAAGATGTCAGGGTCAGGCAGAACACTTGACTTGGGGTAATCTCTGTCTGGCCAGCCCGAGCAGGGGATGAGAACAGCCTCAGTCAGTGTCTGCAGGGCTTCTCTGACCAGCAGGTGCTTCAGCTGGTCATTGGAGGACAGATTCCACAGCAAACCTGCCAGATCCAAAACAGAGTCAGAGTGGCAAAGGGCTCCCTTTGGAAGACTTAATCTCACACTCCTTGAAGTTAAAGGGTGAAGGAGCAGAAGGGATTGGTAAGTGTTGACCAACCCTGACCCAAGGACATGGAAATGGGGCAAAAAAGGCACGGTTAAATGTGAATAAAGTAAAATCTCTGCATGATCAGTCCAATACCCAGCCAAGAAATGCAGTTTTTACAGCTCAGCATTGCCCATCTGCAGCGATCACCTGTGGTACCAAAACAACACAGCTAAGGGAAAATAAACTCATAAAAGGGATAGATGGGAGGTGCAGAGAGGGAGCTTACAGGTCACTGGAATTCTGCTGGAAGACAGGAGATGCCCATTACCAATTTTTTCTAACCCCTGATAGGAAAATTTCTGCTAAGAGGGAAAGCTGTTACCACTGGTTGGCTGCTGCTGTTCAGACATTATCTCTACACAAATCATTWAGCAATGCTACAAATCTTGTCTATTCACCATCTCCAAAACAAATTTCAAATATGATCTCGCAGAATTTATCAGGTTTGCTTCTGTTCTATTCCAACAGACAACAATTCTTTTTAAAAGCAATCTCCCCCTGGAAAACACACATATTTCAGCTTTTTACTACAAAGACATTCATTGTTTCTCCAGCTTGCTGCTCTGAGTTTCACAGACTTCCTCCTCCACACACTTAGTGAATGTTCCTTTCATCAGCTTACAACAACAAGCAAAAAAAAAAAGTTTCTTTTGTATCTCCTTTCACTTTGAATTTAATTTCAGGTATTGTGAGGAACATCAAAATCAAAACAAAAGTGAGCCAGAAGCAAACAATTCCTCCTTCTGGGATCAGCTCTTCAGCCTCTGAATCAGCAGATAAAAGGAAGAATGTACTTTTCTGAAGGATAAGCAAGGCTTACAGGAAATCAGACAAGCAGTCCAAAGGGCATTGCTAAGGGATTGCTAAGAGTTAAGACAGAAGGGCATCGTTTAAAAGAGTTTAAAAATATACAGTTAAGAAAAAGAAAAGCATTTTGGATTGCAGGCAGATACTTAGAATTGTCAGAAGAGAATTTGAAATACTGCTCTCAGCATAAATTTTTCAACAAAACCCCTACTTTTACCTACAAGCACTGTCTCTCTGGGCTTTTCAATGCTACTCTGGGTGTGGATGAATTTGTTCACGTTAGAAAATGTCTTGAGAAGTGGATTCTTTCCTTGCACCTATGCTATAATGTATTCATAGGAGCACAGTTTTCCCTTAGACGATTGTTTGGAAAAAAATGGGTGGGGTCTGCTTTTAAATTTACATTTCTTTTAATGACAGTTCTGCTTGTGCTGTAATCTTCCCCGCAGGAAAAATTCCCTTTCATTTCTTACATTTATGCTGCACAATAACAAGATCAGGAGGTTAGCTACTCCCYGGAGGCTCATCTGGCTTACCTTCAAAAGCTAATTTTTTTTTTTTTTTTTCATGCCCCAGCCATTTTACTTTCTGTTCCTCAGAAATGCTCTCCAAATACCATAAAATTCCATTCCTGTCTTGGCTCCTGTGTTATCTCCAAGTGACACCATCTCCTACTATTTAGGAGAAACAAAAAGCTTCCCTCAGCTGAGCTTAGACATCTTTATTAATGAGAATTGCATGTTTTCAATCCTTGGCCAGGAGTCTTTCACTACAGTTCGGTATTATCAGGTACCAAGATGATTTCACTGATCTCTTACAGGCAAAGACTTTAGCTCAATATCCTACCACACATTTGGAAGTCCCTAATTCACAAAGCAGGCAGGTAATATGCATAATGTGGAAAGAAAATTGGACTTCTCGTGCTGGGTGGAAGGCCAAATCTTCCACATTTAGCTTTTCCTGGAAATGTTAAAACACTGCAGTGAGATTACATTCATAGCCATGATATATTCCACTAGTCCTGCAGGAATTCAAAGGCAATGCAAGAGGTGAAATTCATTCATCCAGWCTGCCCTGTGCTCTGTAGGCTCTTTGCAGCTTGCCAGGGGGCTGGAAGAATTGTTCAAGATATGGCAAAATTTATACCCCAGTGGCATTTTCACTAAGACACCCAGTGCACCTCCTCCTGGCTRCATATTTGGTCTAGAACAAAGCAAGAAACATTTCTCTCTTGGAGTATTTTTAAAGCCATCCTTTTCAACTGATAGGCATGAAAGCACATCATAATATTTTGCTTTTGGCACAAATATTTTGTTGGTGTCTGATTTGTTTTGTGAGGAAACATTCACRTTTGGTGGCAGCAGTAATTGCAGGAATAAAATGCCCTTTCATCCATTTGCACATCAGTGAAGGGGAAGACAGTGATGTACATGTGAGTTATCAGGCACAGTCAACATTTTTGCCAGGAAAGATGAAACTTCTAGCAAGGAGAGCTTTGTGGCCACTCCACCAGCATTTTCACTGCTTCCMTCATTGGTCTGTATCAGCACTGAGAGATAACACACTGTACAAAGAATTACAGACCCAGTTCTGCAACTGGTGAGTGTGAAAAACTTTAAAACATTTTAATGTGGCAGAGCTGTAGAACTGAGCCAAGAAAGAGCCAACAATACAAAGCTTTGTACTCCAGCTTAGGGAGCAGAGTATTTAAAATACTTAAAAGAATGMAGAATTACAGAAGGTCTCAACATGTCTTTGCTTCAAGACAGGGCTGCTTGACACCTTCTKTATCTCTTCACAAACAGTTCTCTCATTAGATTTGGTTCCTGGTATCTTGAAAGATCACTTGAAATAAATCCACGTTCATTTATTCATGTTTTCCATTTATAAAATATAAGCCTGCTCTTCCTTTGCATGCTAACCAGCCAGAATGTGGGTCACCAGCAGTGGAATTCCAGGAGACCCTATGGACACACAGGGATGGAGTGCTGGGTTTGTAATGCTGGACATTTCCTCCCACCATCCCTTCTGCCACACTGAAGWGCAACAAGATCTGGAATATGGGGTTTCTGATCCAAAGGGCTTTTCCTTCCCTTTTAAAACGRGCCCTACTAATTAACAGCTCTTCCTCAAAGTCACTGGAAATAAAAGGGTGAGAACAGCAGCCCTGCAAAGACAGAATCCCGAATGTGACTGCACTGATGGTGCTGTGTGATCTTAACAGCCACATGGCTGTCCTGGAGGAGTTTTCCCCGTGTACACGAAAAGGAGGAGTGCTGCTGCTGCTGCTGGGGAGAGTTTTCTGCTGCTCACAGATCTGAGACTCGGGGGTGAACAGCTCAGAGGGAGAGAGCTCACAGCAGGAATCTGGGCCAGTGGGTTTGGTGGGGAATGGAATCACTTTCTATCCGTGGCACATGACAGCTCTGTCTCCAAAAAGGGACTGCCAGCACAGACAGAAAATGCAGCAGAGCTGTGTGTAAGTAGTGGGCATTAATTATGGTCCCAGAGCCTCCCTCTCTTTTCTGGAATATCGAGGACTTCAAGCTTCTGCAAGCAGACTGATACAACTTCTGAAGAAGCTTTACAAGGGGAAGCCRCACTCCTAATCTCTGTTATTGACTGAAAGACTGGTCTTGAGTACAGACTTTGGAATTTCACCCAAATTGCTCAGAGTAGGTGACAATGGTTTTGTATTTAGTCAAAAAACACTGGTTTTGTATTTAGTGACTAAACCCGGGCTTAARCAAACAATCCCACAMSTCTCCCTGAAATATCTGAGATAYTTGGGCACTATTTACAGCACTTCATGSCTGCTGCAGAGAAAGCACTACCTGTGATTTGCTTCTTGGTCTCTATATCCCGGGTGTGCCGGAGCAGGCGCAGCAGCAGCGGGATTCCCTTCTGCTCTGACACCTCCAGTTTGTTGTCATTGTCCTCGAACACCAAATTTCTCAGAGCTCCACACGCTGCCCGCTGAATGTCCTCGTTCTGAACCTCCAGGAGCTGCAGMAGTTTGGGGATACCACCGAGTGAGAAAACCTGTGAGGCAAACAAAACACAGCAGAGAATAAATGGGTGCTGTAAATGGCGAACTCCACTCTCCCCCTGCCCCAGCAAATGTTTAAATACTCACTGGGACTTCTTTTATTTGCTCCTATTTGAGAGATTGAGGCACASACCATTAATCATTTGGACACAACTGTTAACTTCTGGGCTTTCATATGACTAATACTCATAATCCACAACTAAGGGAGGCAACATGTTTCCATAATTAATATCAGACAGTGACACTGAATCTCTTCCAGCTTTGCTGCAGATTTGTACTCTCTGACAAGACATTTAATCATTTTACTTTTTAGCCTCCCTGTTGGTGAAATGAAGATTTGAGATTTAATTCTGGAACAGTCATAAACAGGTTTATTTTTACCTCAGCAGCCAGCCTGATGAAAAGASTATTCTTCCTTATAATACAATGCATGTATTAGAAGTGTATTAAAAACCAATATATTACACTTTATACTTCTTAACTCTGCCACACAGAGAAAAGAATAGCAAACCAGTAAGCATCAAAATATAGACCATTAAACTTGTAAGCCAGTTATTGAATTACCCACATTTAACAAAGACTAGTGTTCAGTGTTTAAATCATCAGAAAATGAGGTTTTGGGCCCAAAAGAATGAACGATTTAGCAGATGTTATTTTACAGTGGCTGTATGGAAACAAAAACTCTGGAAACAAATAGTTTCCAAGTCCTACATGTTGTGGCAAATGAGGAATCCCCCACGAGCTGTGATGTGACATCAGAAAGCCTCAGCTGACTCAGGAATGAATTTCCTATGGAAAGCACCTTACATTAATGAATGTACAATTGCCAACAGTCTCCTGCAGCATCTCAGAATGCCATATGGCTTTGTGGACAAACTCACCCTTGTGCAGAATMAACAGCACGTGAAAGACTCAGAAATCTGATTCAACTGCTCTGAGCAGCCCAGAGTTTCATGATAAAAGGAATTCAGTAGGAYAGGCAGGTGTTGGCAACACGAAGAAATGGAATGTGACAAAGCCTTTTGTCCTCAGTGGAGTGAACCACACAGCCTGCCAGCCTCTCCTGGGATCCACCTGCACAAAAGGCACAGTTTCCTGCTGACCTGATTCCCCCTGCACTCACTCAGCAATCCCCTAAATGCCAGCAGAATGAAATACAGGAGTATTTATCTTGAGGGCAGTGGAGCATGGAGCTGAAGGCACATTAACCTGTTCCACTGCAGCAGGTCAGCCCATTTAACACCAATACTGTAGCTGTTTGTTGGCTTTCTTTTTTTTTTTCATTTAATGCAGACTTTCTTTTGATTAATTTAAGACATTTATAGCTCTTGTAAAAAAAAAAAAAAGTGCTATTTCAACCTAATTGGTGGAGGAGAATGCACAACAGCTATTGACTGGTTCTTAATTTTCATTAGTAGACAAAATCCACCAAAATAACTGAAAGACCACAAGTTCATAAAAATAGAAAAACCACTGGACCTACAAACTATCAAAYAGCAGGGAATAACAGATAAAGATATTTGGCTGTCACTGAGCTGGACGTGAGTGTGAAGTTAGGGATGGGATTACTGAGCACATTACAAACCAGAGCAGGTATAAAAATGCTTTTTAATAAAAATAATAAAATTAATATTTTTTTAAATAAAAATAATGCCATATGGCATTTTAATAGTTAAAATAAACCATTACATGACACATTCAATGAAGAGTACTGTTTGATGTCTAAATCTTCAGAAATTGAGGTTTTGGGCCCAAATGAACAAAGGATTTAGCTGATGCTATTTTTTACACCAGAGCAGGTGTAAAAATGCTTTTTAATGGTTAAAATAAACCATTACCTGACACATTCATGTACAGAACTGGTTTTTCAGCAGGAGAGACATATTTGTGTTCAGTAGTGACATTTATAGGAGATGAAGAGGATATCTTTAACACATCCTTTCAAAAAACATGTAAGAGACTGAACAAGTGTCTTATAAGAGACCTGAAAAATGTGGTTAATCTAAACAATGCATTAATGAATGTGCACAGTCCCARCAAGCCCTTAACATTCTGGCTAATCCACATTTGTGCAGTCCTAACAAACCCTGAAGCCTGGATAAGGTTGCACTGTACTCTCAGAATTTGCTTTTTTTGGGGGGGATATTCCTGCATGCCAGTCAAAAATAAGAGACAGGAGCAATTATACAAATACAAGAAGGTMATGATTTATAGAGGCTGAAAGAATTCAGTCTGTTTGGCCTGAAAAAGGGCAAATTACATAAGTATAGATTCTGCAGCCTTAACAGAAATGAAAACCCACACAGATAGGACAGAAACGAATCAAATGAGTTTGCAAAAGGGAGATTTAAATTATGCTTTTAAAGGTATACCAAGATCAATGGAAAAGGTAGTAAAATTCTTTGACTGCCTTCAGCAGCTCGTGGAATCCCAATCAATGGGGTGTCTTACAAGCTGGTCATAAACAGCTGTAATTAAAGGTTTGGGTGAATTTTTGTCCTACATTTTTATCACAAAATGCTAAAGCCCACCATTTTTCCAGCATAGATCAATCCCATTCCGTGGCTTCAAAAGGATCTGCAGCAAAACACATCAGTGCATTTTAAGGAAWTAATTATAGAATGTTATTTTCTCTACCTGAATGTAACTGGCACAAAAACAATTACTCACTTTTCTTCTGGCCTCTGCTTTTTGGAAGCTCTCATGCTGTATGAAAGTCACTGCAGCAAGAATCCTGGGTGTGGACTGTGTGTTTTCACTCTTCAGGATGTTCACTGCACGTTCCAGTGTCATCTCCACTTCTGGGCTCCTTAAAAGTATAGACAGAGGAATTCTAGTGAAACAAAACTGCAGATAAAAATCTTGTAAAACCATGATTTTTGTATTTTCCAATTAACTCTAACTTTTCTTAAGATTGTTTTTTTTTCCTTTCTAGTAGAAGAAAATACCATATTAGCTTCAAGAGATATTGATATTCTGAAGGAAGAGAAAGTCATAAATAGAAGTGTGGTTCTGGAGAAAGCAACTCATGCTTTAGGTTATGGTAACAAAATGGAAATATCAGTGGATGCTTCTACCAATGTTTCCATCAGTAGATGAAGGACTGCATGTGAAAGGAAGGATGAAAATGTGGATGAAGATAAAAAAAAGGTTACAGCCACATCAGAGTGCCTATTCCTGATCATGAAGATACCTTGATGTTTTCCTCAGTAGTGTGATTTTTTTTTTTTTATATTTGTCTTTATTCCTTTCATCAGCATCTTAGTTTCCAGACCACATCTATGCAGGACTCAGCACTTGCTCTTTTTCAAATAACAGAAGCTGCTCTGGTTTGAAATAGATGGGCAAAGCCTTTTTCTCAGGTGGGAAAAAATAAAAATATCACTCATTAAACTGAGTATGTAGAGAGCTGTGGTAGTATTAAAAATGTGTCACCACTTTTCTTCCAACTTCCAGCACCTTTGCTTAAATGGTGATTGTGTGAGACAACCATAGAAAAAATGGAAAGAAAGGTCACCAAACACAATATTTCCCCAGTAAATGGAACACAAAACAATTAATGGCACAATCAGGTGTATTAACTCTGGGACAGGTGGTTGTGCTCCCCAGACTTTTTATTTACTTTTGGTTTCAAATATGCTGCACCCAGATTAAAAAAAAAAAAAAAAAGAGAGAGAAAAAAGTTGCCAAGAATGTGAGCATTCTATTTTTTTTTTAAATCCACATATTTTTGTAGTAGCAGATCTGCCACTGGCCAGATGGATGAGGGCAGTCTGTAAAGCACAGTGAAACAAGCAGTAATTGGCAATAACTCCACACTGCAGAGCTACCAGAACATGGTTGACTTGAAATAATCATCTCAGTAAAAGAATTTATAGTTAGAAATTTTAACACAATTATCTTTTTTGTTTCCTCTCAGCTGTCACTGCTGTGCTTGGACTGCTCTCCACTGATAAAAATARTATTTCCTAAGGTTTTATCTGGCAGCAATAAGAGATGCAATCCAATCTTTGACCCTCAATGGGATCCTTAAAGATGCAGCACCCAACTCTTGTCAAAACAGAATTGGGTGCAACGATTCCATTCCCACCCTCAGAAGATTTCCAGGCACACTTGGCCAGCTCTGTGGAACAGAGTGACACCAAACAAAAGGCTGTTAATAGAACAAAGATTTGACAAGTCCTGACTTCACCTCAACTGCCAAAGTATCACAATTTTGAGACAAACATGCACACAATCATTCTGGGGCAGCTCCCACCACATGTAGAGGTCAGATTCTGCAAGCAGCTCTTTCTCAGACAGCTTCAGGTCGAATCTCCTATGCTCTTCACCAAAAGGATGTTTTTAACTGATCCATTTTACCAGAATATTCAGAGATAACATCCCTAGGCTCTGATTTTTTCTACTTTGCTTTCTTAGCATGAGTTAATTCTTTTACAGGAGGTTTTTATATTCACTTATACGCTTTTATACTCATTTCAAACACTGTCCACAGCTGGCCCACTACTTTTATTTAACTTTACACAATTATTTTACATTCTCTTAATTGCCTTGGAAAGACCTAAATTGTCACCTGCTTAAAAAAAAAAAAAAAAAAAATTAAAATTTCTGGAAAAATCTAATTACTCCAAAAACAAGCTTATCTTTTTTCCCCTTTTACCTTGCTAGGGGAGCAACAGGTAAGGTGACAATGTCAGATAAGTGCAACCTTAAAATAAAAGAATAGGAAATGACAAGAAAACTGAAAGTGTCTACAAACTTCTTGAACTGGAAAAACTTCCAGCAAACACTGAACTTAAAACTGGCACTTAAGGAATAATGCTGTTAAAAAGATTTCCAGTAGGGCACAAATCGTCCATCTGAGTTAAGGTGGTCTCAATTAAGCCACTTAAACAATGATTCAAGATTGATTTTTACATCTGCAGCTATGCAAACACTTTGTTGTTTGTACACACAGACAAACAGACTCCGGTGCCTGCACCTCCAAAAGAAAAGCCAAAATTGCTCCTACATGTAATTAAAGATAAAAATCGTTGTTTGTGACTCAGAAATGCATTCAAGAATGTGCCAAAAATTAAGCAGATTATTAAATCAATGGAATACATGTCTGTAAATTGCCTTGCTGTAAAACAAAGTCCTCCCAGGTACCTATTTTCAACATAATTGCTCTCAAATCTTGAGCTGTTGTGAGGTCTCAGCTGTTTTTTCTGGACTTACTTGCTGCAAAGTCTGAATACTTAAAAGTCAACATAATTAACAKCAGATCTCTTCAGTCCTGCATCACCCAGAGGTGAAATTTTCAATCCAGACTAGAAGTGAGAATAATACCATATGTGTTTGTAAATATAATCACAACACACAACATGTAATAGACAACAAAAAGTTATCTGATTGCATATAGCAGTGATATCAGATGTCACACAAAAACAAATTCAGAAAAAGAAGAAAGATGGTCTTTAGAAAAATGAACTTAACAGCTATGCAGCTACCGGGAAAGAGCCATTTCTTAATAACACTGTTCTAAATTGCACTATGATTAACTTAAACTAAAATTTCAGGATCCTATATGAGTTATGAAACAACCAGAATAAACATGCAAGCAATCATCTCCTGCATACCAACTCTGGCTTGTTGTGTCCACTGAAACTTAACAACTCTGGAAACATTCAGAATTATTCTAAAATGAAAATATATTCACTTGTGAGGGGAAATTCAGAAATGACAGAATTTCTCCTTTGAAAATGGAACTGATTCTGGACGTTCTGAAATCTCTGTAATTTTTGGTGGGGGAAAAAACCAACCCAAACCACCTTTCCCAGTATTTTAAACAATTTTTCTGATGTCTGGGGACAGATCTGGGGCTTTCTGGCATGGAGCTAACAGAGCTTTAAATTAAGACAGTGACCTCAGAGCCATGTAGGATCTCATGGCAGTGAGAATCTCTGGGGTCCTGGGATTCAGAGCAGTTTGTATTTGTTCTAGGGATGGATGGTGCTACAGAGCTGAGAAATTTCTGTGTTTTACCTGAAGTTCACAAACACTAAGAGGTGTCCTTGAAACCATGAAGGACTTTTAACTGGAAATTGTCAATCTGCCAAAAGCTGCTGCCCTGGTAGATTTCTGAGCTATCCTTGTGAAAACCAGCATTGATATCAGAGGGACTGTTGTGAGCACAAATGTGTTTCGTGTATTGTGACTGAGGCTGTAAATTACTCAGTGACTATTTCATGTCCCCTGATAAAATTAACTCTTGGCAAAAGGGGGTCCCAAACTTCAGCAGAAGGTGTAGACCCTGCACTGCGCACACTCACAAGTTTTGTCTCCCTTTCCTCTGTTGGGCTGGAAGTGGATTTTTAGAAGCCAATCCACTTCCTGCATCCTCTGCGCTGGTGGCTGCTGAACCACAAGCTATCAGTTACTTTCTCTTTCTGAATAAACAGTTTCCTGCCAGCTGTGAGAGCCCAGAGCCAAGGTCCTGCCCTGTCTTACCCGAGCTGAGATCCATTGAGAGTCACTTGCTCACTCTGCAGGAACCCGTTCCTCCCCGCCGCGGCCACCGCGGCYGTCACCGGCACCCTCTTGCCGTCCGTCTCCGCAGTGACACTGCCYATGGAAGCTGGCTGGGAAAGCTCCCTCCTGCTCTGGGTGTTCCTGAAGGTGCTTTGGTAGAAGCTGGACCTCACAGACTGCCTGTTCTGAGMCAGACGGGACGCGGTCGGGTACCGCACTTGGCCCACGGCGCTCTCCGAGGTCAGATAGTTCTCCTTCTCCAGAAGGTTGCTCATGCTGCGGCTGGCGCCAGCCTGATGGTACAGAGGGACAGCGGGGCTGGGGAAGGCACCATCCAGGACATCATTGGCAGCCCCCATGCGGGACTGCCTCTTGAAGGAGCGGCCCCTGTGCACGGAGTCGCGCAAGGTGTAGCCCACGATCTCGGAGCGCGCGTAGCGCGGCGGCACCGTCCCGCTGGATCGCACRCTGCCCCCGTGCCGCACGGAGAACCCGCCTGGAATCCCGCCCTCATAGTGGAAATCGTTGGAGATGTAGGCCAACCTCTCYGGGTTTCGCTGTGGGGACACCTCCAGTCTCTTCAGAGGTTGCCTTTGAGCTCTCTCTTCCATGGTCCTGTAAGCAAACCTCGTCCCCCAGCCATTGGTGTGAGAGGATGGGGAGGTGACCTGCTCCAGGGGACACAGAAGGACAGGAGCACAGTCAGATCACAGCAGCAAAGAAACCAAACCAAAAAAACATTAAAATTCTACATTCTGCTTTCAGAATAAAAATAAAAAACTACATGAACATCACCAGAGTTGTGCATTATATGGGATTCTGCAACATTTCTTTGTGCCTCCCTCATGAAGGCACAAAGAAGTGCAGTCTAAACCTCAGGGGACGAAGTCTAAGCATCCAATCTTCTGTCATGGAYTCAAAGGAGTTGCAAAAGTCACTTATGCCAGGTAATGAAGAGATTGATTATTAATGGAGATTTTTCAGTTTCAAACTCCTTGGGGATTAACGCCAACATCTGCTACTAAAACTAAATTCCAGGCTGTCTGACAGACAGAAGGAAATGAATSAATCAGATGTTAAAAATATTATACCTGCCTGCATATTGATATTAACTTTATTAATATAAGGCTATTTAGCACTGCTGTTCACAGTGTGGTATGATCTAGTAAAAAGAGAGAGTCCCTCTTCTGTTTGTCTAACCTCCTAAAAATTAAGGAGATGGTATAACATGCCAAGAAAATCAAAATGACCATTTCACCATCTCAATGACTTCCCTAATTCTACAGCTGCAATTTTAGATGATTTTTTTCTTCCTGGACCTAATGGGCATAGACTGTAATGGATCATTATCTTGCTTTATAATTTTGTCTTTTCTAAACCCAAGAAATCCCATGCTGTCAACCTTTCTTTGAAGGATGTATTTTTGAGATTCTTGGTTTTAGGTGCTGTTTGAGGCTTCTTCAATCGTTATACCTTTTTCTTGTGCTCTATATTGGAGCCATACTCCCTTCAAAACCTTCCAGAACTATATCAACTTGGAACCTTATCTGGCCTTGAAATAGAGAAGTCACTTTTTTAAAAAAGTCAGTAAGCATGGGGGCATACAACCATAAATCAAAGCCCYATATATTCAATTTCCATGTTGTGTTATATTTTTGTGATATTGAAATAATTTTTTTAAGGTAAACAGAGGAGTTCACACATTCTATTAATTGAAGGAACAGTGCTCAGCATGGATGCCAGATTGAATTCCCCTAATTTCACTGTTGAGGAGATCCTGAAGGTGACAGTTGACTCCCAAAAGGAGTAAAGGTTATAGAAACCAGWAGGTTCAGGCAAAGATCATTGGCTGTATCTGTTTATCCTACAGAAGTCATGCAAGGACATCTTTATCTTTTGTTTGGGGATAATTAATGTATTTGTGAAGCACTAGACCTTGTGGCTTTTCCCAGCTTTCACACAGKACACTTGGTCTCTCTTTTCCTCCCCTCCCCGGTAAACTGCATTATTTTTTTGTGATTCCTGTGTCTCCTCCAGCTTTCCTTTTGTTGCTCTCTTCTGGAAGGAATGGATTTATGTCAATTATTATGGACTGCAACACAGGTGAGAATAGAGKATGGGAGAACAGAGAAGGAAATGTGTTTAAATKATTCCAACTCTCCCCATACAGAGAYAGAGCTCTTTCACTGACTGTTCAAAAGTCAATGAGTGTTTAAAGACAATGAGCCATTCTTGAGTAATCTAAAATTAAGAAAGAATGCTCCCACCATACACAGTTATTTACTAAATAAATATTTATTTTCTCAAGCTTCTCAAGCTGAACTGCCCTCAGTTTACTAAGCTGATCACACAGGATCGTTGCTGTTTAGCTGTGTTGATTTTCCTGCAGAAAACCAATTATTTATCTCAGCATTCAGGCCAGGAACCCAAGAAAAGCTGGTCAAAATAACAAGAGAATTCATGATTAGATAGTTTAGAAACACCATTGTGATGAAAGGACTGTCCTGCTGGAATTCTTGTAATGCTAAAACAGGTTACAACAGGAGCATTTTAAATGATAAGGAACCACTCCACCTTGTGAAAACTGAAGTCTTTGTCAAACTAAAGCAACCTGTTTTCCTTTGGTTCTGGMTGGTTAATTCTGTTTGCCTGGGCAGCCTCTGGTCACCCTGAGTTGCTGATGTGMTGACTGAGCTGCTCTCTAGGGGGGTGGATGAAGATCTCATATCACAGTCTTTGCCTTAATGGACTGTTAATATGATTTTTCATTTTATACCCTGATACCAACTCTCACCAACCCTGCAAGATTGCAAACAACCCATCTGTATGATCAACTTGAATTTGGCTACTGGGCTCTGAAGTCACTGGAAGGAGGAGAAAACAAAGAGATTTCATTGTAAACCCCTCATTTTCTAAAAATGAGGTTTTAAGAAGAAAACAAACAGGCAAACCAACCTTGTAACACCATCTAAATGACATTATCTGTGGTAACAAAATGAATAAACCATGCATGTGATATTATATATATTCACATATATAWTYATTTCTRCTCATCGTCTTTTCCTCACCTGGYTTGCCTGGTAATATGAGAAACTGTAGGGGGATCTTGGTGCAAAATCAGTCTCAGTGATCCCCATGTTGTAGACACGCTCTGGGACACTGGATGCACGGTGCAGGCTGCCTGGAACCAAAAAATAATATTAGTAAGAGTTTAACAAAACATGGTACTGTATAGAGGCCAAAATACAGTCCTAGGAAAGGTATTATTATTATATTTATTATATAATATGTATTTATATATTACTATATTTAATAAATATATTGTTAATTGCTGAATATTATTGTATCAATATTATTATAATCTAATAATATTGTTATTATATATATATATATATATATAAGCTTTATATATATATAAGCTGAAAATTGAACAGGGAAATGATGGAAGCATATTCGCATTTTCCTGAAGATACAAGCAATTTTTTTTTCAGTTCTCCTCTATATACTTTACTTAAGAGTTATTTTTAACTTTTAGAAGTCATTCATGCAGCCATGAAAAATGTTTTAACAAAGCAGGCTGATAGTTTAAATATCCATCACAGATCCTGGCAGCTGGTTAAGTGCTGAGAAATGGTATCCCTGAAGTGAGAACWCTTATTTTTCACTGTACCCACTTTGAATATACATTCAAATCCATATGTACATGATTTACACTGGCTGACTGTAACATGCAAAATACAGAGGAGGTGAAAATATTGCAGCTGCAGATCGGAGCTGAGAAATACCGGTCGGGGTCTATCTCTGCTACTGATAAATAGGCACCCTAAAGATGCAGTTTTCACAATTTACAATTGTAAACAGCACACACAGAGCACAGACTGTTCATTTCACAGCTGGCTGCCTCAGCTGCTGCTGTTTCTTCTCCCTCAGGTACTCATTTAGGTGCTAATTCAATGACTGCTTCACTGATCTCCTCAGTGCTCCACCCAAACAGCACAGGGAGTCTGTGAACAAACTCGTGTGCCTTGTGGTGCTSTAAAGTTGGGTTGTCCAATGACACTTCAAATCTGCACCTGAAACGTTCACTAATCCTATAAATAATGTAGAAGATCCACATCATATCTGCTCGGATTCCTTTTTCCCCATCACCTGCTCTGAAAATAGAGAAGAACATTGTTTGATTATTTCTTCCATTAAAACCCCAAAGAAGCCAACAAAACCTTGAGGCTGTTCCTTTTTTTTCAGTAAAACAATGCATTTTAAAAGAGAGAGTGCTTCTATTATCAAAAATTTTAAAAGCAACAGATACTAATGAAATAATTATTTATGAGATTCCCATTTCACTATGAGAAYCTGCATATAGGAATATAATTAACACAGGTTTAGAGAGGTGAAATAAAGTTGAAAGCAAGACCTCAAAATAATCATAAAAGGGCCCAGTGTATGCTGCAGAAATTTAGGATGAACTTTAGAAAGAAGTTTAGGTAATAGTGGTCAATAAAGAAGTTAACTTTAAAGAAGTTATAATAAAGAAGGCCATCAGTTTTCAAAATAGCAGATATTAACTGAGATACTACAGCAAAGAAATCTAAAGAACCAATCACAAACTTGGCCAAAATGCTGAAATCCAAATTTCTGTATCCCATTACAATATAATGGCAGACTGCAATAGTTTGAGGCCTAATTGAATCATACTTTGCAATTATTTTGCCTGTGTAATCACACTTTCCAATTCTCTCATTTTGGCAGATTTAAACACGTATGAGGTGATTTGTTAGGACACATTCACAGTAACTCTGTGTCATGACAGTGGAATGGTGCAGCTCAGYCATTTGGATTGCAGTAATTCCTCTGTGACATTACAAGGTTACCAGAGCCCAAGGGTTACCTGGGTACATGAGAAAGAGGCAAGAGGAAACTTTTCTCTTATGCTACAAAAAATTCCCAGCAATGTGCATCAATTTATTTGGGATAAATCCACAAATTTATATAAATGTCTCATTTGTGTCATGTAATACCCATTAAAATGCATTATTTCAGTACCCAGTAAGAGTCCATCTCTCCTATGTGTTGGCTTTTTTAAGATTCACTTTCTTCACTTCTTTGTATTAAAGTACTTTCATATAATAACTCTTGAAATATCAATACCTGTAAATTTCTGTTTCTTTACAGTTAGTGTTYTCTTCCTGTTTACTATACTTAGTGAGAAAGTACTCTCAATTATTTATCTATTTAGGGCATTAAAATACTTTGAGCAAGTAATTTTTGCATGTTTTAGGTAACTCCCAACTTATATTTACTAAAAATAAAAATATGAAAAAGAGGGTAAGTTAAAGATAACAAGGCCATGGATTAACTGATTGAGGACAAACTACACATTTAACAGTTCCCTCATTGCAAAAGCAAAATACAGTCAATCAAAAATTGTACCATGCAGTTGTCTTTCAAGCAGTCCTCTTTGTTCACCTCTGTGTGAAACTCTCCATCAGTAAAACTTTTTCTCTTTCCCAGACAAACACAATAAATGTTTACCTATGGAATTTCACTTGGTTGCTCTTATCACATCAGGAAATTATTTTGCCGGCCTTTTACCTCTAGATTTATTAGGCAAACATAAAAGGCATGTCTTTTTACTGTGTGCCGTTTACTTGTGCCAAAAGTCAKTGTGTTAAAGGGAAAAGGGACAAAAGAAATTCTGTGCCTTTCCAGTAGTTATGAGATGCAGAATTATGACCTGATCAGAACTTGCCTCTGCCAGTAAGGCTTTCTGCAGCTTATTTTTTTAAGCCATTAATTATTATTTTTTAAAATTTATATTCTAGTCTTATCTACTGTCAGGACTAATATTTTATAACTGTGATTCTCAGTGTTTTAATTCTCACAAAAGCTCTCTCTTCAGGAAACACACACACAGAATTCAGTTACTCATCCACAGGGGACAGACCCTATTTAATAGGACACCACATTTGATTTCCAGCAGCCAGTCAGGAAAAAAATGGGTTCCCTGCAGTCCTGCATCATGTCTGTCAACCCACAAGGGTATTTTTGAAAACTCACACAGCACCAGACACCCATGTGTGGGCAATGGAGTGGAACTGTTTATCAGAGTCTCCCCTGTCCCCTGTCAATGTGAACTAAAGCAGCTCAGGAACGCTTTGGATGTGCTCAGGGGAGGAGGTGAATTGAACTCCTCAGTTCTTCTCCAYGCCTAAAATAAAAGCTGTGCAAAAGCCAYCCGATATTGCAACAAATTACAAGTYACAAGCAAATTCTGAGGCTGGAAAAAAAATAATTACAAGTGTCAGGAGGTAGCAGACTGTACAGATGACAGCAAAAATCCCGTTTGCCTGCACAAAAGSTCTCCTCAAGGCCCCTTTGCTGCCCTGGATGGGATCAGCCCAACACCTCCCAAGGCCATGGAAATTTCTCCCCAGCCTGTGGCTGCAATCAGATCAATGTAATGTTTGCTTGGCTTKCAAAAACAACCATGACAAGAGGCATCTCTAAGATCTGTAATAGATGGAAAAGATAATTCTCCTCCACTAAGGGGCTGGGTGTATCAAATCCCCCTTAAATCATGTACGGTGGTAACTTTGTTTTGAGTCTTTTTCAGCACTTTTGCATTTGAATGGTTAGCAGGAAAGCCAAATTTTGGCTTTAAATCTTTCAGTGCAGAATCAATGCAGCTGTAGCTGTAAATGTAACTCTGAGAGGGACTGAGGCACTGTCACACAGCGCTCACTGCCCACTCCTGCTCAGGGCACTTGGGTGGCCACATCCCCCACTGCCATCCTTTAATCTTTTTTTTATACTCCACCACTCAGAACAGACTGAGAGGATGACATTTAATAATAACATATCCAAACCATCACTCAATCACTAAACCTTGAGATCAAAGCCTTCCTTCTGATTGTGTTCCTTCATCACTCTGCCAGCACACGCCTGGTCCCACAGRAGTTTTTCTAACATTTTATGTTGGTCAGTGCATTTATACAAGGTTTCAGATTAAAGAAAAAGATTTCTTCTGGCTCAGGAAGCAGAGGTGAGGAATGTAACAAAACCAACAAAAATTGAAAGTCAACATGGCTATTTTTTTCTACTTCCTTATCCCTCAAAGATATAAGCAGAAAATGACTCTAAAGCAGCTAACATGGTCAGCATTCTGCAAAATAGAAGGTCAAGGGCAAAAAATGCCMTGAGTCCCTAAAAGCAAGTGTAATAAGAAAATACTAAGAATTATAGAAATTAAAAATGTGAGGAATAAACAAAGCTCTGATTTCTACCATCTTGTATCTGATGCTGTTTCTTTGGCAATCACATAAAATAGAATTCTGGTGTGTTGTTTCTTTTTTTTCATAAATATGCTGTGTTTATAAAACTTGTTAGAGAAGAAACCACTACACAGCCTGCAGCCCATCAGGCCATTTGGTTTTGTATAACACATTACTCAATTTTGCCCTCCTTTTTTTACAGTGAGGATCTGATAAAGATGGATTAAAAAGCCAATCAAAATCCAAAAGGAACAAGATCAGAGGCAAGTGGACTCCTAAACAGAATAAAGTTCAAAAGACTCCTAAAATGTACATAAAATAAAAACAACAGATGCAACAAAACATCAGTCATTGAAGTGTATGATTCTGAATGCTAGTTTTCTTTGATAAGTTGGAACTACCTGCCATTCCATTTCCATCCTAAAACAGCATCCAGAAATCTGATATGACTGCTTTAGTTGTTCAAAACTTTCAAGAGTAGAGCAATCTTTAATTTATAAAGGTTCAGCAATGGATAAACTGGACAAGTTGTAGCTGTTGTTGAACTGCTTGAAAAGCAATTAACAATGCTTGAAAACATCCTGAAAAGAGCTGAGGCCATATGTAACTTTGATCATTTGGCACCAGGTGGAATCCTCAAATCTGAGGATTACTGAATTTCTAWTATTAAAAAGAAATACACCTTCCAAAAGGAGAGAAGAGGCTTGAAAGARCAAACAATAAGGTAGGAGGCAAAACTAAGTTTTTCCATTTAATTCCATTTAGAAGCAGCGCTGAAGGCTAAGCAGACACCTTTAATTTGAAACTCTAAGGAGAAATTGTGCTGGCTGACAAATTACTTCTTGTGGCTTCCAAATTTCCAGTAGGAAATGGGTGTGCACAGATGACACAGGGCAAGACCTCTCCYACTGCAGATTTTTCACCCCAGTGGTTCTGTGCTGGGCTAATTTTAGGCAGGCATGTGAACGCTGTGGTTAGGTATGCACTGAGTACCTTGCTGAGCAGAGTCTGAAATACTCCTGCAGAAAGGATGCTGATATCACAGTGGCCTGCTCTTGCTCCCTCTAAATCTTTGTAATCCTCCCCTGCAACTGCAAACAATATGGGACCCTTAATGAATGTAGGCAGAATAGGGTTACACTGCACAGAAACTGATGCTTTTGCATGTAAAAGGGCTTATGTGTAAAAAGCACCCTACACACAAGAATTCAAACATTTCTCACAGCATAGTCCATTTTTGAGCAGGTTATATAGAAACACTTTGGGACACACATGCACATATGTGTATATTTTTCAGGAAAGTCAACATGTTAAATGCAAGGTTGTCTATTTTTCATATTACATACATATTTAAGATATCGATAGATATTCACATACACATGTATAAATTCATGAAATGCATTCCAGTTTCAATTTTTTTTTCTGAGTTTTGCAGCGAGACTAAAAAGCGCACAGCAACTTGGCYGCAAATAATTTGAAAGAACAAAAGWTCATTTTATGCATGAATAASACRCGTTACAGGCATGTCATCTGCCACTCCCAAYCCTGAAGTTTAAAAGTTTTTGTGTCTCAGAAATGCAAGGGGCTCAAATGCTTGACCTTTAGAAAAACAAAGCAAACCAAGATAACTATCCCCAAATACATCAGGCCTGTTAATGTATTCCAGAGAAGCCAAGACAACTTGAGAGCCTGGGAACTCTKTTTTCACAGTGTTTGTTGCATGGTTTAAAGTTTTCACAGTGTTTGYTGCATGGTTTAAAGACATGAGCTCAGGTCATGACACTGTATCATTTATGAACTATTCATTAAAAAGCTTCTTGCAGACGCTCCACTGAGAGAGAAATTAAGAAAGTAAATTAAGAAATTAGAAAAATAAATTAAGTTACTCCAAAAGCGCTTAGAAACTGTATTTAAATGACATCAGCCGAGCTAAGGACTTGCATGTTTATCTGCACGCTGCACACCTGTTTATGTGATTTGTACACCTGAATTTTACAGAGTATTCCGCATCTGCATTGTATGCATTTTTTTAAATAGAGGCCACACAAAGAACAACAAAATATTCATCTGCCTGAGAAGACAGATGAGTGAAGTATGGTTATAAAGACTTTTGTCTCACAACTTTTAGCAAATGAAAGGTGACAGCTCCTTTAAGGACAGCTGAGTAACAGGGCATGTAGCCTGCAAATCAGTCATATCTTCCTATTTAAAAACAAAATTAAAGTTTCATGGTATATAAAGTTTTCATGAATAGTTCAGACTAAGCCCCTCGAGCACCTTGTCTTTACCCCTTTGGCAATTCCCCCGTGGGTGCCCGAGGCTGCGGTCGGGCTCTGCTCGGGGTAAAGGAGTGACTGCAGACTCTCCTGACGGCTCTGGCCTCCTGGCTACAAGTTCTTGGAAGCAAAGGATGATTGACGTCAATTTATATCACGCGTGTCAAAGAGCTGGGTAAATAACGTTTGATAGCGTTATCGTTCTGTGCTTCCCATTCATACCTTTCCTACTTTTCCAAACTTCCTTTTAGTTTTTTTTTTTTTCTTAAATTTTTCAATTTCACGGTTAAACAAGGCAAAACATTACGATTCTTTCCATTTTACTTCGCAAACAGGACCAATGGGTAAAGCTAAAGGCATTCAAATAAGCACATGAAGCGGGTGCGGGATTAGGAGAATTTCGGTTCGGTTCCGCTCTCGGACAGCGCAGAGCCGGGAGCGGCCCGGAGGAGGTTGGAAGGAGGAGGCTGGGAGGGAGAAACTTGCCGGAAAGAGAGAAGAAGAGGCGACAGAGGAGCGATTTTCCCCCGGGGCCGGGAAGCCGCGGACACGGGAGCAGCTGCGGTGCCAGCCCGGGGCCGGCACCGCCACTCACCATTGTACAGCGAGCCCCGGCTCTTCCTGGCCAGCGTCTGCTGGACCTGCCGGTGGATCCGCAGCGCCTTCTCCTCCCCGGCGCGGTCACCCGAGAGCTTGAGCCGCTCGTCGGAGGGCAGCGCCAGGCTGGAGCTGTCCAGCTCGCCCAGGATCTGCTGGCCCAGCACGGTGCGGATGTAGCCCTGCTCGGGCCCGCGGCCGGCCATGGGCACGGCCGGGCTGGGCTCGGCTCCTGTTGCGGACCTGTTGCGCCTCCGCCGCTTCCCCGGGACGGGGCCGAGCCGCGCCCAGCGCACCCGGGCCGGGCCCCGCCCGCGGTACAGGTGCCAGGCACGGCCCCGCTCCGCTCCGCCCCGCTCCGCCCCCGCCACCGGCACGGTACAGCACCGCGGGGACCGGCCCGGCCCTCCCTTCCCTCCCCTCCCCTGGCCGGCCCCTCGCCGCTATTCCCCTCCTCTGCCCTGCCCGACGGGGTGCACTGTCCGGCGGGGCTGCCCGGCACAGCCCAGGCCGGCTCAGCTCAGCTCAGTCCAGCCCGGCACGGCACGGCACAGCACAGCACAGCCGCGCCCAGCCCTGCCCGGCCCGGCTCAGCCCAGCCCAGCTCAAGCCAGCCCAGCCCGGCACAGCCCAGCCCAGTTTAGCTTAGCCCAGCCCGGCCCAGCCCAGCTCAGCTCAGCTCAGCTCAGCTCAGCTCAGCTCAGCCCAGCCCAGCCCAGCCCAGCCCAGCCCTCCGGGAGCCACCGCCTGTTCTGACGCCGAGACAGCCCCGGAGCGGCCGCGGATGAGCTCTTGGGGCCGGGATTGTGCGTTTGTGTTTGTGTTTGTGTTTATTTGTGCCGCACCCGCCGGGACGCCGGGTTCCCGTGGCACACGTACCCGCCTCCCGTGAGCAAAACACACTTTTAAATATGTATATATAAATATATACATACACATATGCGCCGTCCCTCATAGGTGCTTTGCACTACTAAGTTAAGATACTTCTATATATTTTCACACATTTTTGTAGTGAGTTTCAACTTGAAAATAGAAGTTTCTTTAAGTGCGGTGGTCCGTGCTGYGAAGATCGAAGTTTCAGGCGGGGCTGTGTTGCGCGATTGGTTATAGGGCTGCTGGTTTGGGAGGTTTTCCTGCCTTCTGGGTTTTTTTCAGGCTGCCCGAAGGCATTGCAGAGTGATGAGGTGCAGCCGCCTTCTCTGCATTTCGTTGTAAAGAGGTGATGAGGGAATTGCTCAATTAAAGGTTGGAAAAACCCCGACTGGCTCTGCCCTGCCGTGGTGAGCGGGTTCTTGCCCACTGAGCTACAGCTGGGGGAAGTTGAAGTTCTCACAGTGTCAGGAGTTACAGTTCAAACAAACACTGTACGCATTGTTGATTGAAAGGAGAAGGAACATACAATGTTTAGCGAAAAGGAAATGCAGGCTTTAGAAACAGAAGTAAGCGATCTGGAGTTGCACAATTTAAAAAATCCCTAAATYCCACCAAACTATACATAAATATTTTTGCAGAAAATACTGTTTCYTAAAAGCAAATGAAAATTAATGTGGCTTTTAGTCTCACGTGCTGCTATTTCAGAGACATTCTGGCACTCAAAATGAGCTGTTGAAGCTTGTTTTTTGCCAAAGTTCAGAGAGCAGGGAGGGTACAAATATCMGGGGAGACACTGGGGTGATCCTTGACTTGGGGTACACTGTAACATAAGAAACTGGGCACCCTCTCACAAAACTCAGGATAAGGAGGAGGAACTGACTCCACACTTAGGAGTCCAGAATGATTTTACCCCTGATTGTTTTATTCTTTGTCTCTCTTTGGTATTTTTTTCTCTAAAGGGGGGAGGCAGCTCTGGCCCTTCTCATCACTTGGACTGACTGAAGTCCCTCCCCTTTGCTCTAATGTGGTGTCCACACATGATCATGGTCGTGATCCGTAAGAATGGTTTCACTGGGAAATGGAGTGACACACTTCTTCCTTCCTTATAAATAAGGAAAAGTTATATATTGGAGCAGAAAGGTTGGACATGTGTGGGGGGGAGCCAGCCGGGAAAGAGGAGCAGGAATTTGGGGAGAGGAGGAAATTGGARGTATGTGGCAGAACTGCAGAWAACAGTGGTTCCTCAGGCMYGCAGCTTYTTTTTTGYTGAGYAGTAGGACAGGACTAACTTGCACYCTGACCTCTTAATAAAGCTSTGCTCRTGTCATCGGTCACTCATACACTCCCGRTGAAAATCGACAGAATTAACATGAGTGGGAAATAATTGTAACAGAAAAGTGCAAGGGTAAAAGAAAGARAAGAACAGACAGGACAGGGTAGGAAAAACAATGGGGAAGACACATCACAGCTAGAAAGGAATGTAAACTATGTCAGAAGCTGTGTTAGACCCTTTTTCTGACATGCAGACAGTCACAAAAGCATTTGTGTAAAGAATAGATACTCCATTCTCAGGCACTATGAGTGAGGAGATTAGGAATAGTCTAAAAAATGTGAAACATTTCCTCCCCTCCTCCTTTTCCCTGCCCTCTTCTCYGTTCCTGAACCCCAGCACAAACATGGTTTCTGGACAGTTTTTGTAGTCAAAACCATATTGGTTTCACGCAAAAAAATGTACTTGAAATGGATTCAATATTTAGAAAATATTCTTGTAGTGGGTGTCCTCAGATGTCACTGACACCACATAGAGGTTTACAAGTTCTTGGCACATTGGYATTGCCTCTATTGGAAGAACTGTTGAATTCTTATTAATTTTATTTAGCAAAAGTGTACATGTGAGTGCTTGTGAGGTCCATGGCAAAAGAAAGAGTAGTTAGCTCTGGGATTTAAAATCTTTATTTAGTGTTTTGAGATGGATTTCTCTCCTTGTAACTAGGAATGCTGACTGGGAAGCTGGGGGTGGGGGGAGAGAGGAGAAAGAATTTTGCCTGCRCAGCAATTCAGAAAATGCTTAGCCAAGATCTGAAATAGAAATGAATTAAGGTTTTTTTTCTTAGCTGAAGAAAATAAATATCAATGTAACTGATTGGCCCATCAACAGCATTTCCTTGAAGTTGATTTATTTTGGATTAATAGCCCTTCTTGACTAAATAAAAGAAAAAAAAAGCCCCAAGTCTTTTGAGAGAGAAATACTTCAGCAGTATCATTTGCAGATAGAAAGCAACATRGCTGGGATTATCCCTACAAAGATTGCAACTTCTGATGGATATTTGCTCATTAGATTTTTGAAAAAGAGAATTAATTATGATACATATGCCGATTCAGGGATGTGAAACCCTATAGAAAAACATTTGCTTTCAGCCCAGTGTCTGATGGAGTCAAGYCGATCAGGAAACCAGGTATTTTTTTTAATAAGACTTATTTCTTATTCTTACCAGATGTGCTTGGTCTAAACCGCACAACCTTTCTCCATCAGAAGTTCCCTACAAATAATATTTATATGAAATCTGTGGTAATTGGTTCTTTTRCTCTTTTTTCCTTCCCTGTCCCCCTCTCTCTGTGTTAGGACTTACAGAACCAGCTAGGTTTGCACCCTGGAAAGAGATGATTTTCAGCTGCAGGAACCTTTCAGGAAACTGGTGTAAGTATGAACATTGATGTGTCCAGTTTAAATGTGAAACAGCATCTTAAAAACACCCAGAAATCATGTGTGCCAATCCAAGGACCACACATAAAATGAAGCGCCATTCACTCAGGGTTTGGAGTTCCCTCCCTTTTTAATTTTGGATCCCATGTAAGTGCAGGTTAGTCAGGGAGAGACTTTTTTTTTTCCTCCTTCCTGCCAGGAAAAGCCCTTGAAAGAGCGAGAGGCCACAGTGCCACCGCGTGTTCCCTTGCTTCCTTTGCAAGCCTGATCCTTGTCAGCTCCTGGCAAAGCACACTCAGATTGTACATGTGAAAGAGTTAATGCGTGCTTTAAAACCTGACATCGGTATTTTATTGCAATTTTGTTTGTATTTTCTTCCAGTAGCATAATTTTTTTTTCACCCTAGCATCATTTTTTGAAACAGAGAAGCAGAAGTTCATCCATTTAGTCCTGTAGGATTATTTAAAGTAAATATTTTTTTTCAGAAACACTTAGAGGAAAAGTGCTACATTTACATTGGTAAAATGAGTGTGATAGCASTTCTTTGCCTGCAAGAGATATCACAATAAAAGAAATAAGAGCTGTGATTGAGACTCTCCCTGAGCCAGACAGAGCTCAAGGGAGCAGCAMATTGCCCGAGGAAAGGAAAACCAATCAGACACACACACACACATACACATACATGATGAAAATTATTCTCATTGAGACATCACAAACCTTCAGCTCCTAGCCCAGAACTGACTAAATGCCTTGAGAAATGTTTTAGCAAAACTGCCCTATGGCCATGAGCTTTGCTTTGTGTCCAAAGAGAGCCAAGGACTGCAGGTGACAGTGGCTCCTCTGGCTTTTTTTGGGCTGTGTAATAGGACAGGACTCACTTGCATCCTGACCTTGTTAATAAAGCTGTGATCATTTYTTCTGTCTGGCCTCTATTTGTTTCTTCTGCAGATGGAAGAGAAAGGRGGATGTGCTGCTGTGGCTGCCCATGAGTATAATGACACCTGGCCTCTGTGATGCTGTGAAAAGGTTTTGGTGCAGTGGATGAGGCAGCAGGARCAGAGGGAACMAAGATAAAGTTTTTAACATGCCTGKYTGTGAATCATCTCTGTGGAGATTGCCCAGCTGAATCCTGGGGGATGTTGTACTGGTTAGTGGGGTCCTCTTCACGCTGTGGGTAGGGGACAGTCTGGTTGCACAGCCCCACTGGGAAAATATTGTTCAGTGAGTAAGAATAAACAGCATTAATCAAAATTTTCCTTCTCCCAGCTGATCCTTTGTGTTTGGCAGGACTGCCTGCASACTGTGAATTGGAGGTGGGGTGGTCAGCGAGTTCTGGGGGAAGGTGGCAGAGCCCATTCCATCCCAGGCAGTCGATATCTTGTGGATAACATTCCCCTGACTGTGCTCTTCTTCCCCAGATTATAGCAGCAGGCTCAAGGCTTGCTGGCAAAGCAGACAAAACTGAGCAGCAGGGAAATATGGGCCAAGTTGGTAATGCTGCRTTTAAGCATCAATAAAATAACAGCATGGCCCTGTCTGTCTGTTGGACTGTTTGCTGCCTGAGATTTGTTCTCTTGTTGCTGTTTCTTTTCTTTCTGAGTTCCTGTGCTCTGTTTTATCCTATCATTTCCAAACTCTCACTTTAACAATAAAGTGCAATGCTTTAAAAGTGAGGGTTTTTTTTTTTATTTCTCTTTTTTCAGTTTCAAAGGTGCACA